AGGAATGAGGGTGTCACAAAGTAACCACTTAACAGAAGGGCCACAGACCTGGAGACCTGTCCCAGCCACCTGCAGCTCCCAACCCCAGGGTGCACCCAAGGCTACATGCCGGGCTGAGCACTGCTCAGTAGGAAGACGCAGCATGCGGTGAGGGGCCCCAGGAGCACGAAGGCTCCCTCACACCTGTTCCCCCAGGGCTCTGCTGACCTGCAGTGGCTGCAGCCCGACCCATGAGGCCCCTCCCTCTCCTTTACACCTCTGTAAGTAACCCCTGTGAGCTGCATAACCCCTGCAAGGTGGCACAGCCCGGCACTTGCCTCATCAGACACTTAGGGAGAGTGATGTCAGTGGGCACACTCGACTGGACGTACAATACCAGTTGGCACTTTCTCCCATGCCACATGGCATGCTGTGCCCTGAGCCTCACATGGTGATCTAGAATGCCCTGATGGTTTGGGGGAGGGAGGGTGCTAGGCAGGGTTCTGTGCCAAGGGCTGGCCCAGGTCTCTCCAAAGGGCCTACCCCTCAGTCAGCCCTGGCGAGGAGCCCCGGCAGAGGGCCAGGTTGGCAGGAAGAGAATTCAGGGAACTGCGGTGGGGGACCACCCTTTCTCTTCAGGCACCCACCTGCTGCCCACATCCTGGGTTGTCTGCAACGTGGGAGTAGAATCCTATCAGAATTGCTGGAGCCACTTGCTGCCTAGAAGGTCTCTGGAGGGGATTGGATTTTAGCCATAAAGTCCTCCTCCTCATGTCTTTCATGGAATCTGGACTTGCATGCGTCTGGCTGTACAGACGTAAGGAGGAAGCTCATCACGTTCTCCTCCCATCCCATCGCTCCCGCTGTCATCCCATGGGCCTGGGCAGGGAAGTGGGGTGTCACGCTGAAGTGCATGTAAGTCCTGAGTGGGGCTGGGCCTCCTTGCACCACATCCCCCCACGCTGCATGGACACTCAGGCCCACGTCCTCGCTAAGCACCAGGCTCCTGCCCAAGTCAAACCCAGGCCACAGTTTCAGGGTGGGTGGGCTACAAAACCATCAAGTGTGTGTGTGTGTGTATGTGTGTGTGTGTGTGTTTAAGCAAGTGCTTGGGCCTGGGTCTCTGACCCAAGTTCCAATACAAAGATACTTTGTATTGCAATGCTGGAGCCATTCCAACATGAAAAGCAAGATTAGAACCTGTGCTTGCTGGTCTAAGATCAAACCTCAGGATAGTGGTTTGAAGACGTTATTCTTCAAGAGAAAGTTTGGAGGTGAAGCCCCGAGAGTTGAGACAGATAAAAGCAGAGTTGTTCTGGTGGAAGTGGGAACAGGGGCAAGGCTGGAGACCTAGCCTTTGCCTCCGGCCCCCTTCTTCCCACCTCAACGGCCCCTGACAAAGCTCTGTGGAACCCCTGGGTTTCCACAGGACCTGGTTTGAAAACTGTTTTAGCGTGTCTACTGATCTTGGGTCCTGGGGACCTGTGCTTTGACTTCCCTTTCGGGGTGAAGAGTTGGGAGAGTGTGATGGGGGGAGGATGCTCCCCCTTCAATTGGCCTCTCTTTGAAGCCACTGTGAAGCCACTGTGCAGTGATCATGCAGAGAAGGGCAGAGGTGGGGCGCCTGCCCCACAGGTGGGCCATTTCAGTCCTGGAGTGAGGGCAAAAGTTATGGAGGCCCAATGCAGGCTTATGCATAGGGGGCAGGAAGGTGGCGTTTGGTTTGGTCCTTGTTGATTTTAAAAAGAAAAACATCAGAACAGCTATAGGTCTATGTCCATGAAACCCTATAAAAGTTCAAGAAGAGAGGGGCCTAATGCCTTCCTCTGGGATGGGTGGAGAATGTCCAGTCTCCAGTTGCTGGCAGGACAGAAGCTGCCTGTGTGGATTGCTGAAGCCATTGGGGGACGGGCCAGCCCAATTCCACTCCTAGGGTAAGAGGGCAAAGAGTTCCTGCTTGGATCCCTTGTAAATGGTACCAGGAGGTGCTGGCAACAGCTTTTTCTCCTAGAGGGGCCCTTACCCTCTGAAGGGAAGGGGCAGGCAATTGCTACACAGCCTCACCTTCAGGCTCTCTGATGTAGTAGTGGTGGCTTCAGACCCCCTGGTCTGAGGACTCTCCCTAACCTGGAATCAGAGCTAAAGCTGCTTGGCCTCTGTGGGGTCTGAGAGATGGGAGCTGTGGGGACCAGCCCGAGGAGGGTCCAGAATGCCACCTCCACCATCAGTGACATGTCCTGTTCCCTCTGTCCTGCTCGCTGGAACACTAGCCCTGAGCTTTCCTGAAGAATGTCTGCATTTCCCTCTCAGCCAAGTTGCCAAAGCCTAATTGGGTGCATCTCATTCTGAGGCGACTGAGGAGGCACAAGACCTTGAGACCAGTGGAAGGAGGGCTGAGCTCCAGCAAACATCCTGTGTGACCTCGGGCCGCTTCCCTGCACTCACAGGGCCACAGAGACTCAGCTCTGTCCCCACTTTCATGCTACCTGGGCCTCAGGGCCTCACGGCAGGGGGGGAAGGGGTGACTGCTCCACTGAGAGAAACCAAGCTCAGAGGTTGAGTGACTTGCTCAAGGGGAGCTGTCGGCTGCTTGGGGACAGCCAGCTGCTTCTCACTGCGCCAGGTTGGAATCAGCTTGTCAGCAGCTCCCTCAGCTGGCCCAACACGCCTGCCTGGGATTGAGGTTAAAGCGGCCAGTGAATTCGAGCCGAGCCCAGGCCTGATCTTCATGAGAACTCTTCTCACTGGGGCTAGAGTGCTGAGGGAGTTTAGATGGCCCTCTGCCTGGCAGATTTTATCTCTGTTCTTCCTTCCCACCTAGACTGCTATCTGTATGGCAGATAGCCACATGGCCCACTGGAAAGTCCCAGGGTGAAGCTGCGTGGTCAGCACATGCCCCCAGCATGTGCGGAGTCAATACTGTGGGCTGGGGCCTGGGACCTAATGGGGCTCCCCCATGCCCAGATTCATTCCAAGTCTCACCTGACTCCAGACTCCAGAAAGAGGGGCGCTCTGCATGTTTGGGTGGAACGGGGTCTGGAGCCAACCAGAGCTTGGAAAGATGGTCAGGTCTTCCTCTCAGGAAGAGCCTCAGGAAACACTTGGGTCCGAGAGGCCCACTGTGCTGCAGCCATGCTGTGCGGGAGGCACCCAGTCCATCCTGGCAAGGGGGTCGAGATTCCAGCCTCTGTGCCACTCACCACACTGCGTTCTAATGTGGGCTGGATCCACCCAGACGGGGGCGCTGTTCTAATTCACATCAAGGCACTATATGGAGGAGCAGCAGCCAGGGAGCCCTGAAAGCTCGGCCCCACTCTACTCCCCCTGAAACTTTCTCATGGCCACCAACTTCCTGAGACAGGGCCTGGGAAGGACCATCTCTGTGTCTCCAGTGCTTGGCACACAGCAGAGAAGTTGCCAGCTAAGGATGGTCAAATCAAATTCGACTGAACTTGACCACTGCCCTTCTGCAGTCCTGTGTCCAAACTGTAAAAGGCCAGGTGGGACTATGAAGCTTCCTGCAGATGAGGGAATTCCAGTTCCACACTGGGATAAACCCAAAAGGGTGAGTGGAGGAAGCTCAGGAAACCGGCCTGACATCTTCAGTGTGCATGGGTTAGGGATGAGGGAAGAGGTTTGTAGGTGGGATAATCACCCCAATTCCTAAAAGGTCTTGTACAAGCCCCCAAGTTTCAAGAGAAAGACTCCAGAGAGCACATGCTTGCCATGCATTGTTCCAGCACCTCGTCAACTCTGCAGCTGCCCAGAGGCTTGGCTGGATGCCTGGGATACCCGCAGCAAAGACCCCAGGACTGGCCAGGAGAGTGTGGGTGCCCTGAGCTGACCTTGGGTAGTGGTGCTAGGGTGGGTCTTCATGAACTTCAGAAGGGAAAGAGTGGCGTGCAGTACCTCTAGGCACATGAACCCAGTAATTCACCATGGAAATGGCAGCACAGTCTACCCCAGGAGGAGCAAGACTGGAATAACTTGTATAATAAAGTTTTGTTACCTACCTTTGCAGGCAAGTATAGGGCAGAGATACAGGGGTGAAGGAATTGGGGAGTGGTTTCCCTGCCCTGATAATCAGTTTATTTGCTTGGGTATAAAGTAAACCTCAGGAGATCTGCCTCTACAGAGGCTGTGAAATACCACAGGCTCTGGCACAGCCCGCCCTCCCCACCCAAGTCAGCAAATCCAAGCTCTGTCTTTCTGAAATACTCAGACGCTAGGGTTGAGCAGTTCATGCTTGTCATGGCCACAGCTGGACATATCAGGTAGCCCCCCCAGGGTCCCAAGACAGATGCTCCCCAGGCCTGGGTGGGTGAACTAGGAGCACTCCAAGACTCTGCCACCTGTGATGTCCAGCGAATCCTCTCTGGAGGCAAACAGATCAAAGACAGTGTCTTTGGCTTGACCCACTAGACCAGAAGCTGGGAGGGTGTTTTGTGATCATCTGGCCAAGCCCTTTGGCTTTCCAAGTGAATAACTGAGGCCCAGAGAGAGAAGGGAAGTTGCCCAAGGTCACACAGTGAATCAGCATCAACACTTTGTGTCTCATCTGCCAGTCCTGCTGCCCTGGAAACACCCCAAGTCCCAATGACATCAACAGCAGCCAATGGGTACTGGGTACCCATGATACTGGGAACTACTGCAGGTCATCAACTCCCCCTGAAAATATAGGGTTTCCTTGCTACCCAGCAGCCCCTTCCTGTTTAGGTGAGGACATCTTGATGGACTCTGTCTCCTGGCAAGGTCCCCCTTTGTGGGTTCGGTGGCTTTGGTGCTCTCTCTCTGCCTGTAGGGCCAGCCCAACCAAACCCTGGTGCTCATTCACTCCCGGGCTTGATGCTCCCTCCCTTTCTTCTCTCCATTTTTACAGATAGGACACAACACATGAGATGCCGGGAAGCTAGGATGTTACCGCCTGAGGATACGGAAATAGACATGAGCTAATTCACACCCCGCTTGCCTTAGACTGGAAACTACTGTAAAAAAGTCAGTCCAGTTGCTTTTCCCCACTGCTGAGGCCTATGAACCTTCACCAACATCACTATCAGACACAGAGAGTATGGGGCAGGGATGGGAGTAGCAGGGGAGAGGTGTTTGGTGGGTCCAAACTGCAAAAAGCTAGACCCTATCCAGTTCTGCCCCTCCCGGCCAGAAGGGGGCGCCTTTCAACATGGTCCTCTTTTAGCTGCCAGCACCGTCAACCCCCAAGGAATGTGCACATCTTCTCAAGCGTCTGGATACTTCCTTCCCATCTATCCAAGCCCTCATGCCCCATCCTCCCCTTTCTGCTGCCCATCCCTATTCAAATTCCAAGGCCAGAACTGAGGTGGCCTTTCTGGGGGTCAGCATGAGAAGGGGGGGTGGGACAGAGCGGTGACTGCAGTGAGAGGGGTGAAGGCAGTAGGGGTGGCCCTGTTGGCATGGTGATGTGGGGGCCAACCCTGAGGCCAGAGGTTCACCACCAGGACCTGGAAGACCGCTAGGGCACCCTGGTAGAAACTGGAAGAACAAAGGGGAGGGGGAACCAGAATAGGAAGAAGACGAGAAAGTATCCTAGTGCGTGAGAGTGGACCTGCAGCTGCCCGGAGGAGGGCCGGCCCAGTCTATCTGTCGTTGAGGTGCGGAGAGCAAGTGCCATCCTCCTCCTCCTCTTTGTCATCCTTCATGCCTTTCAGTCTCTGGCGGGCAAAGTCCTCAAACACAATGTCGTCATCACTGGTGGGAGAGACAAGGAAAACGGGTGTGTTTGCAGAGCAGGAGGAGCAGACTTCCTCAGGGATCAGCCGGCCAGTCCCAGGTGGGATTCAGAGGCTGGCTTCTGGACCCCAACCAGATGTGAAAATTCCAGAGGGGGCGTGCGCTTGACTTGCATGCCTAAGGGCTGGGCCCAGTTCTTGAAGAACAGAGGGGGCACAGGAAATGGAGGGAGCAGGGCAGTGGCTCTGGGGTTGGGCTGGAGTGAGAGGAAGAGCTTATTCTCGCTGTGAGAGGTCAGCCACCAGCAGATTCGCAGCACATTCTAAATCCCTCCAAGAAATGCACATGGGTCCACAGGAGACAAGCCCACCCAACCACAGAACTGCCCTCAGGAAGCTTCTGCACGGCAAGGAGTGGGCCTGGCTTCCTGAAGAGAAAAGCTCTAAGGCCCTTTATCTCTTTGTTCAGGGAAGTGTGAGTGAGCATTCTCCCCTGAGGGAGCTTGCATAGGAGGAGTTGGGGTGGGGGGGTGAGAGACAAGGGAAGGGGCAACAGGGAGGGAGACAGGACAGGGTGGGTGGGGGTGTGGGGGCCTGAGTGAGGTTTCAGGACAGAGGACTGCCATCCAAGAACAGAGTGCCCTGCTACCATAAAACGTGTCCACTTAGGCCCACCTAACTCCCCTACCCCACAGAATTCAGCCAGCCCATATAGGGTTTCCTCCTGGGGGCACTTGAGACCTCAGTTCCAGAGATCTCCTGAGGGCACAAGGGAAGGCTGGGTTTGGAACTGGAGGGAGAAAGCTGCTTGGCCCTGGAAGTGATTCCTGATGCGGGCCCAGATCTTCCCACTCTGGCCGCTGTCCCATGACAGATGGCCTTTGACCGCAGGGAAATCCACATGGGTCTGCAGGAGTCAAAAGCAACAAGATCCCCAGAACCTTCCCCACCCCACAGCCCGATTCCACTGGTTGGGCGTGGGCAGGGCAGGCAAGCCCCAGCCCAGGGCCACAGAACCAGCCCTGTAAGAGCCGAGCAGGCGCTGTGGATGGACGAACAGACTGACGGACGTGCAAGGACGAGGGAGGAAGACAGACCCCACCAAGGCAGGAGGAAGAGGAACAGGCACGGAGGGTCCTTCAAGTCACATGCAGGCAAGCGGGTTGCTGAAGAGGTGAGCAGAGGCGGCTCTCAGCAGACCGGGTTAGACCGGCTGCTCCTCAGGGGTTACCTATATGCAAATGACACCATTGCCCCCCAACCTTCCCCCACCCCCCAACACCAGACGTCTGCAGGCAGGGTTTGGCTTACTTTGTGTCAAGTTCTATGAGATTGGTATCTACTGGAGTCTCGTTGTTCTCTGGAACTAAACACAAGGTGAGCAGAGGCCCACGGGTTAGTGAGTGGGCACAGGTCCCCATTGGGGGCAACTGAGCAAAAACAGAGAGGACAAAGGAAGGGCGCAGGAGGGGGCTCCTGTCTTAGAAATACTCCAAATTGTCTTAAAGGCAGGGAGAAGGGTCCAGGGAGGTCCTGGGTGGCCAGGCTGCCCCAGGTGAACAGAAAAGCCTCCAGGCCCTGCTTCTTCAAGCACGTCTCTGACATGACTGAAAAGAGCATGCACTACTCGCGCTAACTCAGGAAAGCAGCGTCACGTCTTCACAGGCCTGCGCTTGGGGCATGTTTTACAATGAATGGTGTTTCAGTCTAACTGTGGGAACATCTGTCTTTCTTGGCGGTACATATTATAATATTGTCTCCTTTGACCAAAACAGTCTTAGACTTCATGAAAAATCACCACGGTGGCATCATGTGGAAAAATAATGAGGACATTGTGTCCAGGACCCACCGTATCCATGCACCCCCTTCCCATGCAAGACAAAGGGCCAGGGGTCTCCCTCCACTCCCAGACTCCCCCCTTCCTCTGTGGAGCACAGTAGCAGACCTGTCTCTCCGGGGAATCAGAGGTAAACAGGAGTGTGAGCCTCACAGATGACCCCGAGGAGTTGGGGTGGGGGGTGACCATGCACTGAAGACTAACCTAGAGGGAGGTGGGGTGACGAGGAAACATGGCACTTGACGGAAAAGGAGGTCAGCTATTCGGAAACAGCCCCACCCCTAGTGACCCACAGGTTCTGCTCACCTTCTCGATGTGGGGGTTCCTCTTTGGGCTTGGGGTGCATTAGGGTGAACGGCAGTTCCACAGCCACATCGCTGAAACAGAGACCCAGACCAGATGAGCCTCAAGCCCAAACTCAGGCTGTGAGGCCCAAGGGTATGGGGCTGAGGCCCAGGGTTTTGTGGTCAGAGGAGGTAGCTCTGGGCAGCGCGGGAAGTCTGGCCTTGTCCCCAGTTCCCTCTGAGCTTTGTCTCTCTAGCAGTGGCGTAGGAGGCCTCTTCTCCAGACTCCAAAAAGAAAGGGAAACCCCCGCTTTCCCAAAAAAGATCTCTGGACCCCAATGAGCTGGGAGGAGTGGGGAGGATGGCCCAGGGCAGTGCACACCTGGGGCACAGTGGCTCCTTAGCACGTCCAGCTTCCGAGCTGAAACCCCGCCCCACCACAACACATCTTTACTCCACCCCATCTCCCCCTCTCTCTCCCTCTCTGGGCAGTGCCTGTGAACGTGCTTGGGTACCCCTAACCCCACCACCCAAACAACGACCCGAGGACACCACATCCCCAAGTTCAAGTGGGATGAGACGCAGGCTGTCTCTAGTGTGCGTAAAACCTTGAATCTAGGCAGGGACAGAGGGTGGGAGTGGTGGGGAGTGGTGTGAGATCCGGAGCGGTGCCACCAGGCAGTCCTCTGACTGGGCCTCTCTCCCCTGGTCACTGACCAACGGGGTAAGAGTAGACACTTGCGTGGTACTGACTCTATGCCAAGGACTATCTTAGAGAAATTCATGTAATCTCCACAACAGCCCCATTATTATACCCAATGACCAGACTGGGAAACTGAGGCATGAGGAGAAAAAGGATCTTACCCAGAGCCACACAGCTATTAATGGGACCCTAAAATCCCAATGGGACAGACCAAGGATTCTGACTCCACCATCACACCCTTAACCACTGTGTGATCACACTCAGAACTGAGCTCTGCTCTCCACCCCACAAAGGAGCCTGTTCCTCGCAGCTTGGGGTAGTGTCACCCTAGGAGCCAGCTGTGAGCACCTCCAGACACAGGCTCATTTCACCAGCCCTGCTGCCAGCCCCAGTGGGACGAACGACTGGGCAGGGGCACAGGCTGCAACTAGGTCTGTTCCAGCGCCTCCTCCCGCCCACAACTCCTTGGCAGGCACCCTACAGCTCCCAATCTCACTGAGCTCATCTGGAAAATGGGGACATCAGCGCCTGCCTCCGCATCCAGGAGATGATGTAGGTAAAAGCTTTGGTGTCACTGTGAAGCCTACATCTGCCAGAATCATCACTTCCCCTTGGTAGGAACAGGGTGGCTTCATAAGGCTGTTGAAACTATTTGGCTATTTTTTTCTTTTTCTTCCAAAGGGCATTGCTTTTCCATGTTCCCTTGGTAGTGCGAGCTGTCAGAATGGAAGTCGGTAGAAGACTGAGCTTGCCAAGCTTCAGTAAAGCTACACAGGATGTGAAGAGGCCCGAACGTTCTCCCAGGCCACACCCATCAAGGGCGGGGGCCATCTGAGTCTTCTCCGGAAAACACTCTGTATAAGTTTGGGCTCAGCACATTTTTACTGAATTATATTGAAATGAAGTGAACTGGATGAATGTCGCCTCTCCCAATGGACTACAAATTTTTGAGATGACCCATCTTGTGGCAGGAGGTGGCAGGGGCACAGGTTACGCTCTGGGGCATGTGCAACTTTGAAATATACATGAATCCAATTTGGCTACAAGGGAACTTGTCTACACAAGTGGGCCTCATAGAAACAAGTGGACCTCTTAGCAACACTCAGCCAGCGGTTATTTCTCATTAGTGTAGAAGTTTGAAAGCCACACAGCCTGCATTTCTCCAAAACCTTTCTGTAATTCAGACAGATTGGGGGCTGTTCTCCAGATCAATGAAGCTGGCTTTGCTGTCTGCCAAGGCCCTGGTTCTTGGGTGGGATGGAAGAGTAGGGTAAAAGAGAAACTGCATCTGTCTAGTGCTTCTGAGAAAGTTCTAGTCCCAGCATATGCCTGAACCCAGGGATCAAAAACAACCACTAAGATTCCTTCCAACCCAGTGCCCTGTGGTTCCAGTTGATCAGACTAATGGTCTGTGGGCCCTCCAGGAAGGTGGATGGATCAAGAAGACTGGGGGTGGGGGAGGGCACTTTACCTGGATGCAAGATCTCCCAGCAGGCTGGGTGGGTCAGAGGAGGCGGGAGGGTGGTCAGGAGAGAGTTCAGAGAGGAAGAAAAAGAAAGCATGTTCATTCACCACCTCTGCTGTACGTTGCGGGTAGAGAAGTCCCATGGAACATTCTCCCACCCACCCACTCACGGATACATAGAGCATTGGCCATGGCAGGGGAGAGACTGAGAGCCAGGCCCAGCTCAGCCAACACTGCAGGACGCCTCCCTGAGTCCAAGACTCTCTTCTGTAAAAGAGACATAAAAACCAGGCCCTGTGCTGCTGGCCCCAGGAGGGGGGACATAGGGTGGCAGAAGCTGGCACTTTGGGCTCCACTGAGGATCCGTCAAGGAGGGGCCTTGTCAAGGAAGACGACAGGGGCTGCAAGGGTCTCAGGACATAGGATTTGGGACTCCGAGGTGTCCTGTGATGTGTGGTGAGAATTACACTTGCCAACTGCACAGAGTTACTGTGCTAGTAAAGGACTCTCAGTGTCTAATGCTTTTCAATTTTTCATAGAGATGATGTATGAATTTGGGGGGAAAAAACGCCTCTGCCAAATTAGAAATCCTGCTTCTAGCTTTATAACCAGAGCCTCTGCCAGTCCATGCTCCGGGGCAAGAATATCTCAGGTCCGCTGCCAGGACCCCAGCACCCAGCCCATGCCCTGGAGAAGGGAGGAGCCCAGGAAGTGTCTGGGGTGCTTTTCCTCCTGCTGTGGCATGGGGGCCTCACTCCAGCTCTGGGATTCTGAGCTCCTTTAGCCATTTCCCCAGATCAGCCTGAGCATGGGCAGTGGGGGGTTAAGGGGGGGTGGCGGGGTTGAGAGGGGGGTGGCGGGGTTGAGGGGTGTAGAGGGTGCTGGGCCCAGGATGCGGTGAGGGGCATGCCCCTCTAGAGGCCCCAAGCAGAGCCTCATCACCCGGTGTGCCCAGATAGGGGCTAGGGAAGAGGAGGAGGAGGAAGTAAGGGGAGGAGAAAAAGATGAGGGGCCAGGGGAGGGGCTGGGGCCTCTGGAGTAGATGAGGGGAAGGGGATGGGGCAGAGGAGCTGGAGGGAGGAAGACAAGGAACAGGATGTCTTCAGGCCCTGTTCACCCGCGTGGCAGCTCCAAGAGGTTCCACAACCAGACAGAAGGGGCCTGGCCGTGGGGCCTCTCCACCCTGCACTCGCCCCTCACTCAGGGCTCTGGGACGGGGCTGGAGCACTCACCCGCCCCGAGACACCACCAGCTTCACTTTCACTTTGTAGGAAACAATGATGCCCAGGATCTCTCGGTTGGCGCCTTCCCTCAGCCTGCAAGGTGACATGGAGAAGAGGTTCATGGGGGCCCGCTGGATGCATGAGCCTCTTTGGACCCCACCACCACCCCACCCCCCCTACCCCGGCCAAACAGAGTCCCAGGAGTGAGAAGGGAGGGACCTCAGAGGCCTGGCCTCAGTGTCTGGCTGGGGGGTCAGCCTTTCCTCTCTGGCCTGGGTCCCGTGGACGGGGCAGGCTCTTCCTACTCTGCTTCTCCAGAGTTTAGAGGACGGGGAGGGAAGGGGTAGCAGGGAAGACACCTGGAGGAGGGGGTGCCTTCAAGTAGGTCTGGAGACAGGTAGGGTCCTAGCCAGGGTGAAGGAAAGGCCAAGCATTCAGAGGCAGGTGGGAAGCACACACGGAGGTGGTAAGACCACTTCGGCTGAGCATGGGGCCTATGGGGGAGTGGTAGCAGGGGTCCTGCAGAGGCAGCCAAAGCCCCCAAGACCTCAGCAGGGCAGGCAAGATGAGCTCCCCACACCCCCAGGTCTCTGCTACAGCAAAGTGGCCTGGGCAAGAGAGATCATTTAGCACTGGGATCCCTGCCTTTGATGGGTATCCCCACATCTGGTCTGTTTCTCTCCAGGCCCCTCCTGATCCATCTTTCCCTGCTAGGACCCTTCCAGGAACCACTATCTTAAAGGACGCACCCCATCTGACAAGATACTAGTTCTAAAGCTGCTACCTCTTGCAGGAAGCCTCTCTAGGTTGCCTCCCCTAAAGAAGCCAGCACAGCCCAGCACTAAGTAAGTTGAGGGGTTCATCTTACTCTCTGGGTCACCCTTGGTTAGGAGAAACTATAGGGGAACAACTTCCCCAGCACTTTAAATTCCTGAGGATAATGCTTCGGGCCACCCAAGCCTTGAGCTAGTGCTGGTGGGACTGAGTCAGGTGTGGACACACTGGGGGCAGGGCGAACATCCTTGAAAGACTGGGACTAGGGCAGGCGGGGCCTCACAGGGTGCTGGAGGCCAGGTTGGTGTCTTCATGCTTGAGCTTCCCATCCAGGGCAAGGCCCCGCTTCTCTCGGTTGTTGGCCAGGAAGGGGGTGAGCGTGTAGACTTTGCAGAAGGTCGAGCTGGGAGCCACTGTGTCGCTGGAAAGAAGGGAGGCAGATGTGGAGATGCCCACGCCCCGCCCCCAGAAGCATCTCCACACACACAGAGGCCCTGGAGCGGGGCCTGCTCCTACCCCATGGAAAGGCGCTGTGAGGCAGGCCCAGCTCTGGCAGGGACACTGCCACCACCCAAGAGGCCCAACCATGCCCCACGCAAACAGTGACTTGGGGGCGAGCCAACAGCCTCCTGCTTGGCAAGTAGCTGTCATCTGCACAGTATTAAGTCACTACTACTTGGCCCTGTGCTCTGACTGGTCGGAGAACATGGACTTTTTTTTCTAACATTATATTATGAAACGTTTTTAAAAGCACAGCAAGGCTGAAAGAACTGTGCTGTGAACACACCCACACACTCCCCAGCTAGGCCCTATAGTGAGAACTGTTCTGGCCTTATCTCCTGTGTGTCCTTGGTATGTGGGCTGCTTGCCTCTCTGCCCTCCATTTTTGCCCAGTGAGCTGGGTCATTCCTTTATTAAACAGGGAAGCTGTGTGCCTACTGCCTCGCCTTTTATGCCGTGGCCGTCAGGAAGCTCAGAGGAAAGTCTCTCCCTTCAGTCTGGATCCCTTGTGCAGTGCAAAGAGGACCCCAGTTTCCTTAATTCACTAGCTCTGTTTCATTATTCTAGCCTTCGAGGGTCTTTCTCTTGACTGGAACATGCATTTTCTTGTAGCTAAATCAAGTGAATGGTCTCTAAAAGGCAGTTTGGATCATCTACTCTGAGTGGTGAGGAGTTGAGGCCCAGCCCTCTGCCTGGTGGCAAAGAGCCATTTTGGGGCCTGGAACTGGACCCAGGCTTCTCTTTCTCCCCAGCCAATCCCACATGCCCAAGACCGGGCTTGTGCTCACTTACTCTGCCTCTTCCATGGCCACGGGGCACTTGTACTGGGCCGTGTTGAAAAGGCAGATGTCTGCATACTGGCGCACTGGGGAAGAAGAGGGAACCGAGGTGGTGTGAGGCAGGGGTTGAGCAGCCCAGGGCAACAGCCAGAGTCCACTGGGGCTTTTGCAGGAAACTGCCCCCATCCAGCAGCCGGAGGGCAGCCCAGACACACCCATCCCCTGCCAGAAGCAAAAAGCCTTCCCCTCAAGGACAGCTTTGCCCAGAAACCAGGGACTCTGAGAGAAGAGGTGGCTTAAACTCTGAACTCATTACCTGGCCAACAAGCAGCCCATGTCACCAGCCTCAAAAGCCCTAGCCTTTGGCTTAGCAGGCCCTGTGCTTCCCTGCGGGCCGGGGGTATTTACAAGGCTAGAAACAAGGGAGAACTTTCAACCGCCCCAACCCTCGGGAGGCCTTCCTCCAGCCTGCCCCGTCCAGCCCGCTGCCCGGTACCCGAAATCTTGATCTTCTTCACTGTCTTGTTGGTGTTATTGGTGACGTGGACGTTGACACTGATGGGCTCTCCGTGGTAATAGATCTGGATAGGGGTTTGGATAGGGGGATACCAAAGCTCTTTAAGGGAGAGGAGTCATCCCACACACCTCTCCTGGGGCTCCCCTCCACCTTGGCTTTCCTGACACTGGCCCCAAGTTCATTAGCTGCTTCCCACTGAGCTGCAGGCATGAGGCTTGTTAGTGCAGTTCCTTTGAGGAACCTTGAAAGATCATTGAATTAACCGATACTCCTGGGGTCCAGTCCCGGCTGGGTCACCAGAAGTAATACCAGTAACAACGATGGTGAGGAGAACAGCGTGACCTTGCCACTTGCCTAAACCTGCTCCCCTCACTGCACAGTGGAGGGATTGGAGCAGGCCATGTGTCCAGTCCCTTGAGATCCTGCAATTTTAGACATGGAGGGTCTAGAAGAGGCAGGGGCAGGGAGGGACGGGCTGGCCCACTCAGTCTTCACTGGAAGGCCCCAACTTGAATCTTGACCCAAGCACTTGCCTTCAGCTGCCCCACAAGAGGGTGAGGGGGCAGCCCATCAGAAGGGCAGCTGGCAGTGTGGGAAGAGGGTCAGGACCCAGGACCCTTGGAGAGGGTATACGGACCTCTGAGCTCAGCCACATCATTCGGCCTCAGGTCCCCCAATGTCATTCCTTTAGGTCCCAAGAGGCTTCCCCAGCTCTTCCTCAGCTTTCCTAAACCCTGTAGTCTTAGAGACAAAAGCTCCTACCCAAGGAGTCCTGGCGGCCATGAGAGGGCTGGGGTTGGGGGTCTCTACTCTGCTAGACCACCTCCCAGCCCTGCCCAGTCTGAGCCTCCTACCTCCTTATCCAGAGAAGCCTCTAGATGCAAGGGTTTGTCCGACATGAGGAACTGCCTGGTGGTCTCGGCCGTGGGCTGGGGGCCAGGCCTCTCTGGGGCATACTGAACCTTCCGGATGACCAGGCGCACGGAATTCCTAATGGAGATGGGCAGAGTGATGATGACCAGGTTACCTGCCTCCATCCCATTTCCTTGCAATCCTTATATCCTCCTTCTGCTCAAGAGACGCCATGGCTCCCCGGGGCCTTAGAATCTAATCCAAACTCTGGAGGTCGGCACCACCTGGCACCCCTCTATCCTCTCCTGTTCTGTCCCCAGTCTTCCCAACTTCTTCACTGTCACTCCTGGTGATCTAAATAGTCCTATCTCTGGGCTTCCCCGGCACTGGCATCCTGCCTCTCCAGAACACCTTTTTCTGGCTTCTGCCATCAGCTATTTCCTTCTTCAAGACCCAGCCAAATACCTGTTCTTCCTAGGCCAGCCCACTCTGATCTTCTCCTGGTCTGAGCACCTCAATATTGGAGGCCAAATCCCCCTGTGGCAGCCCAGTGGGGTGTATGCCAGTACCCAGAGTGATAACAAAGGAATTGTTTTCACTGCCTGCAGCCCTATGTCACTATCAGTGTAAGGACAGAGAAGTTTGTCTAAATTGTGCACAGCTAATTCTCAGCACCTGGGCCTGCCCTATAGTCTCAGTGCCCGCCCTATAGTAAGTGCTTGTTAAATGTCTATTAAATAAAAATATGCGGAGGGGACAGGGGCCCCATGAAGAAGTGGGGGCTCAGGAAGGAGACAGGTTCAGTGATGGGTGTGGATTCAGTGGCAGTGGCGGCGGGCCAGGGGGAAGCAGGCCAGGGGAAGGGTTTAAGGGTCAGTGAGAAAGCACAGGCCCTGCTGAGCTGGGGATCGAGGCAGGTGCCAGGGGCTCAGGGAGGAAACCAGGGCACAGCATCAGTGAGGACATGGGCGCTCAGCAAGGCGTTCTCCGTGGCAAACTAGCCACGCCAGCATCCTCATTTCCCAAGAAGCTGCCTCCATTCCCTGGAACTGGATGGCAGGATTAAAATCCTAGCTCTCCTCTTATTTTTTGACCTTGAGTACATCAGCCTCCATGCCTCAGTCTTCTCATCTGCAGGGGGACCATGGCAGGACATGCCTCTGGGGGTTGCTACAAGAATTCAACTGGTTCATACATGACCATAACTTTGAGCAATGCCTGGCACCTAAAAGTCCTTGCTAAATAACAGTCGCTATGTAATTATTAGTAGCGACTATGGTGTAGACGTAAATATTCCCTCAGTGATGGTGAGAGGGTGGTGGCGGCCAATGTCACTTCTTGCTAGCTCTGGTCAGGTTCCCTCTCACAGTCCACAACACTCTCTCTCTCCTCTGATGCCAGATCTTAAGAAGAGAAGGTGGACAGAGAAGCAAGGGAGGAGGGTCACATCTCCCCACACCAGATGCCCAAACTGGAGATGGAGCGGCCCCCAATCTGCAATACAGCCTGCAGCCACCAGGTGGCAACTCAACCTACTCCCTAAAAGGCTGCAGTGCCAGCCAGGCTCCCGTAAGCACCTTGACTTAGGAGAGGGGGTGTAACAGCATAGGAGGTTGAGGCCAGGCAGTAACTGACTCCAGGAGGGACAGATATTAGAATGGAGTTGGGCAGCTCATCCCAGCAGCCAGGACCAGCTGTTTCTAACTGCCAGCCCAGCACTGTGCCTCTCCAGAACTCTTGCTCTCCTGAGACAGGGCTGACCTCTACATGCACACCCCCCTGGGTTCACCTTCTCCACTGATGTTCCTTGCTTAGAAGCCTCCATTGACAACCTACCCCTGCCACCTCCTACTGAGGGTCTCCCAATACAACTGAAATACAGGGGTCGCGGCTGACTAGGGAATGTCTTGCTCATTGTTTAAAGCAATCTTTACCCTAAAACAAAATAAAAAGATGTGGTCTGGAGGAGACAAGACCAGCGGCAGAGAGAGTGAGTGGAAGTGAGTACAGTGGTGACAGGAAAAAATGCTGAGACCCGAGCCAGAGCAATTGAGCCACCTCCCCCAGGAAGTCCTCCATGACCTCTCAGTCATGGCTGGAATATGTGACTGTTCCTATCCTCACAAGCACACTTCCAGGAATTGTTACTTATCTTTTTCTGTACTCAGCCTGTCCTGTCTCCCTCCCTCTGCCAGTGGCAGACAGTCACACCCTGCCGGAAGCTACACCCTCTCACCGTTTGTGGATCTTCTCCTCCAGGTTTTCCGCGCAGAAGGCTTTGACTTCATAGTCCACACCACAGGCCTGTGGAAAGGGCTCACTGACCACGAGGCCTTGGAGAGGGCAGAGTCCCAAGAGCATGGCGAGCCCACCCTCCCATTTTATAAAAACACCGGGTGGGTCAGTGGGCCCCCACAGCCTCTACTGTTCCATCTGACTGTGGAGCCCACGCTCAGTCCCAGAGCTGCGCTGTCCCCCTCTTTGTGGCTACCGCTCTCCGGTTGCCTCCCCATCAACTTTCTGATCAGCTGCTTCCCAGCTGCCTGAAAAAGACTTCCCAGATTACACTCATGGTGCTCTACTCTCCAGGTACCACCTCGCCTGGTATTTTCATCAAGACAGCTGCCCAGAAATGCAGCAGGTACCTCAGCAGCACCTTGTGTGCAGACACTGTCCTGGGTGTGCTGCTTCTGTGCCTCACGCCATCCCCTCACCCGCATGGGAAGGCACAGCCTGGCTGCTCTATTGCCCAGACAAGACAATGGGCTCAGAGTCCCGGGGCCCAGGACACTACTGGTGTCACATCTCTCCAAGCCTCAGTACCCTCCTGTAAATGGTGATGACTGCACCTTTAAAAAGAGATTGTGAGGCGAGTGGTAGTCCTGTTGTAGCCAACACTGAGGCCAGGAGTGATTCGGAAGAGCCTCTGGCATGTCACTGAATCAGCCATCCACCACCCTGCCTGCTTAACTAAGGTGGGATTATTCTGGTCCAGGCATGAAGAAGCTTCAACAGGGAAGGTTCTAGCACCTCCCAGAGAAAAAATCATGGACAGGGGACACAAGCGTCCCAGACCCAGAGAGAGGCTCCCTTTGAGGTGACCCACCTTCCCTGTGTCTTCAGGTCCTGGCTGCAACGTCACAGAGCATGGGAGGTTCAGAGGGATCTGGTAAGGGGACAGACAGAATGAGCCCCCTGTCGCATTCACTACCAGCCTCCCCAAGTCCCTCACCCATGCCACCCACACACATCCATCAGACCAGGGGCCCCCAAGGACCGACCATATCTCTTCCATCAGACTAGGGGCTCCAGAGGACAGACCGCGTCTCCCCCACAGACCATGCCAAGCCATGTCCCAGGCGGAGTCAGAGGCCCCTCCAGTCAAGTTGATTGAAGTGTTTTTCTGTATCTGCTGGGTTTAGCCCAGCCCCATGCTCACAAAACAGTTGATAAAGGTCTTTCCATGAAGCCTACTCTGGTAGGCACGCTAATGGCCCCCCAAAATGTCTATGCCCTAACTCCCCAAGCCTGCAACTATGTTACCTATGTGGCTAAGGGGATTTTACAGGTGTGACTAAGTCAAGGATCTCGAGATGGGGTCCTTATCCAGGTGGGGATGACATGGTCCCCAGGGTCCTTAACAGTGGTCCCCCAACAGGGTCCAACAGTGGCGGAAGAACCAGGGACAGAGTGATGGATAGAACACTGGCCCTGATGGTTTGGAAGATGGGGTGTGTGGCCCACCGTCAAGGAAGAGAGGGGCGTGGCCCACAGTCAAGAATGGGAGTGTCTCCAGAAGCTGGTAAAGGCAAGGAAACAGATTCTGTCCTCAAGTGTGGGGCAGGCACACAGGGCTGCCCAGACCTTGGTTTTAGTCTGCTAAAAACCATTTTTGACTTCTGAGCCCCAGAACTGTAATACGTGTGTGTTGTGTAGTCTGTATGTTTCATTGCCACCAGGTTTGGGGTGGTTTGTTAAGCAGCAGCAGGAAACTAACACATCTACAATAGAGAGGATGACTCGCAGACTCTCACAGAAAACGAAGGAGAGGATTTCCCTGAATCACAGACTCAGAGTCCGAGAAGCAGGACGTCTTAAAATCCAGAATCTTGGATCACAGGATGAGAAGATGGCAGAGCAGGGAAACCACTCCTTGCCATCCCTTGTTTGCAAGCTGGGCCGAAGCCTGGCAAGTGGACAGCCGGTCTGAGGGAAGAGACGGGCTGACAGCCACCAGACGGAGCCCAGAGGTCACGAGTGACCCCCTGGCAGTGACCAGAGAAGAGACACTTACCAGGCAGTGTAAGTGACCGTGTCCCGGGCCCCAGCGTACACTGGGAAACTAGGTGCCAAGTGGCTGCCCCAGCTGCCCCCAAGTGCCTGCCCCGAGGGCCTCCCAGAGGTGGTGTTTCTGGAATGGGGTCCCAGGGGCTGGCAGTCCCTGACCTCAAAGGTGAAAGGATAGGCGTGCTCGCCCAGCTTCTTGATGAGGCGCTCCTGCAGCCGTGTCAGAGGCTTCTTGTCCTCGGGGGCTGGCGGGAAGGACTGCACGTTGGCCACAAACAGGTCCTTGCGAAAGGTCAGGCCCAGGACATCCAGGTCCTCTCGGCCATAGCGGAAAGCGCAGGTCAGTGTCACATAGACTGTGGGAACAGGGGGCACTTAGGAGGGGTGTGGGGGGTAGCATGCAAGCCCCCCAGAGTGCCAGCTGTAGCTCTGAGATTGACGTGACGGGAGGCCCCAGATCTGCCCTAAGCTCCCCTGGGGAAGGCTGTGCAGCCCTTGAGGTGTTGAAGGGCCGCCATAGCTGGGCCTCTGGCAGGAGGTGGATGCTGACTGCTGGGTCTGTCTGTCCTCCCCTCTGTGTAGAGGGGCGCACGAGATGGCCTGATAGGGCTAGGGGGCCTTGCCGGGTGGGCCTGGGGAGGAGTCAAAGCAGGAAGAGAGAACAAAGCGGGAAGAAGCACTGGATGGTATCCAGAAGGCCTGGGGTCTCGTCCCAGCCCAACCCCTACCTTCTGTCTTCCCACTGACCTTAGACAATCCCTGCACCTTGCCAGGAATCAGTTTCCTCTTCTACAAAGTGAGACCCTAACTCCTACCCTGTTCTCATCTCCAGCCTTGCAATGCCATGATATATTGCTGGGAAAGTGCTTGGGGCATTGAAAAGGTTCCCCCAAAGTGGACACTGGCAGGGCTGGCCCAGCCAGAGATCACTGGAGATCTGATGTTCATTGGAGCTGTCGAGAGAAGAACCGGCCGGGCTGGGCAGGGAGAGGCAGTAAGAATAGCTGATGTCAAGTCAGGGAGGCCCAGGGCTGAAGTCTGAAGTTGGTGGAGGAAGGGAAGGCCTTGGACAGGCAGGGGGTGGGCAAAGCCTCACCTCTCCTCTCCTTGAGATACTCAGGATCCACCAGGACCACACCATCTGCAGGAAGGACAGAGAGTGAGCAGACCTCCCAACGTGACCTCCCAAACACCGGCCAAACCCAAACCTCCATGGAAGAAATGGGGAGGCCAGCTCCTGGGGGACAGCCCCACCCACCTCCCAGCTTCCTCTCCACTCTATCCTCCACCTGTCTCACAGAACCAGCTGGTGACTTGTGCAGGTCACTTAACTTGTCTGTTTCTTCATCTGTTAGTAATAACAATAGTCTGAGTTCAAAACTTCTACTATCAGGTTTATTTTAGAGTGTAGAAGTTTTGAATTGTAGAAATGCCATATGGTACATCTTCCAAATACTCTGCCACACTCTCTGCAGGATCTGAGGCAGCACCCCACGATCAAAAGCATTAATACCTCCATAGGGAAACGCGAATATTCTCACCTAGACACTAAGGCAAAAGCAGATTCCTATCAGTTCAACTTGTGCCACTGAACAAATTTTGCATCTAACTATTGAATAATTTTAGGCTTTCAGGCCCGGGGTGTGCAGATCAGGGTGGTGATCCCGCAGTGCCCATCTCACAGGGCTCCTGTGAGGACAAAGTAAGTGTAAAATACATGAGAAGTGCGATGCAGCGTTGGCTCGGGCGCCGCCATGTCCCTCAGCCTGGCCTTGGGAGTGTAGAGTCCTGCTGGACACACGTCCTCCGCCCAGAACCCGGGAAGCCAGAAACACTGGCTCAGGGGTCGCTGCCTTGCCTGACGCCCTGGGCCAGCGCTGGGAAACTCTACCAGCCACACCTGCTGAACCTCCCCCTCACTCATTTTCTCTCTCTCTCAGGCCATATTTCTCAGAGGGCTCCCAGTCCTGCCCCAGAGTCGGGCAGGTGCAAGGGACACTGTCATAGCACAGTCTGCCCCGCATCTTCACTCCACCTACTGCAGGTATTTCCTGTGGGCCTGGGCAGGGGCTCAGTGAGAATCAGTGAAGAGATTCCCCAACCAGGGGTGCCAAGGAAGTGTGGTCAGGGGAGGCTAGAGCCAGGTCTTAAAGAGCAAGAAGGGTCATCAACTCATGAGAAAAGGGAGAAGCATCCTAAATGGGGCAGAGGAAGGAGGGCCAGGCCTGACCTGAAACGTCCTGCAAGTCAGGGGCTTGGGCTGGCCATTGCGTTTGAAGGGGAACCATGGGGGTTACATAAGCATCAGGAAGACATAGAGCCATGTGGTGATGAGAGTATTTCTTACTGTGAGTCATTTGATGAACTCTAGACAACACTCCAGAACTCTCTGGGATCCCCAGAGACCAGTACAAGGTCTAGTGGGAAGTAGATGCTCCCATTTTCAAAGTAGGAGTGTGTGTGTGTGTGTGTGTGTGTGTGTGTGTGTGTGTAGCTGGTTTTCTCCTAGCCACAGTGCACAGGAGAACACCAGGATGCTTACTCCCTGGTTCCAAGGGCCAGTTCAGGAAGGAAATGCAAATGGCAGAAGGGGACATTGAGCTTCAAGGACACCAAACTGTCCCCAGACCCTGGCAGGGAAGAAAAGTAAGGTCACCCTGCTCTGGGCCCACAAGGTAAGACCCTGGAGTGGGCAGGACTCTGCTCACAAAGGACATCCCAGGTCTCCTGACCAATGCAAGAAGGTCTCCCTCCCTGCCAGCTGAAACCTGCTGCTGTGCTCTCTCTACGCCCGCCTGCACCTGTGCCTGCGCTCTGGAACCACAGGTCCCTCCCGTCCTCCTGGCCCCAGGACACCCCCCACTATGAGTGGGATGACAGAGGTCATTCTCTGTGATTTTTTCCCAAGCAACACACCCCAATTTCTTCACCTGCAGTTTTCAGTGCCATCTTCCCAACCTCACTTCTTTTAGATCATGTGCCTTTTAAGAAAACTTTACCTCTCTAAGGTCTCACTGTCCCCATATATAACATAGGGGTCATTTTGGGCCTCCCGCCCTCAAACAGTTATAGCAAGAGGCAATGAGGTGGGGGCCCCTCTAACAAGAGCTATACTTCTTAGGGGTATAACCGGGGTAATTGTGCCTCCCCTACATTTGGCAACGTAGAAGTCATTTTTGATTGACACTGAAGGACAAGACTTCTCAGGATGTCCAGAACAGGTCTTCCCAAGACGTGTCTCTTTGGCATGTGCATTATCTCAAACCGAGGTCAACTCAGGCCTTACAGGCTCACAAGGGAACTTTTACCACTCTCTTAACTACCTAGAAGAATGAACATTGGAGTACTAGGCAGTGGAGAAACTTATCTACATGTCAGGGCAAACATGTACTACAGAGCATCTGGTCTCCATCCTATGAGTCTCCCTCCCTTCATCATGTGAGCCCCCTCCTCTCACCATGAAACCCCAGGCCCCTATCCTCAGCTCAGCATACACCCTCAGTTTGCTCCGTTGGCTTTAGAATCCACATCCATTAGACTTTCCATACAAATGTACTCAAATTTTATTTTTCTCCTAGTAATCTATCTGATATTAATATGATCAACCAGCTTGAGAAGAATCCAGAGGAGTAGGAGAAAGTTTCCCCTGTGCCCCTATATCATACTGAGATGGGGTACTCCTGGTGTCAAATGGGTAGAGGCCAGGGATGCTGCTAACTCTCCTACGACATCCAGGATAGTCCCCACCAGTGAAGCATTAGCCAATTCAAAATGTCAAGAGTGCTGATGCTGAGAAACCCAGAACTAGAAAGAATAAGACCTTGGGAGGTGCCTTCAGCCACATCCCAGTCTCTGGCAAGACTCTCACGTCAGCAAAGACAGCCTCCATTTCACAGGCCTTACGTTTTTCCTTCCATCTCTCACCCTCTCTGCCCTCAGGAGGCAGCAGAGCAAAGGTTCTATGGTGCCAAACTGCCTAGGTTTGAATCTGGGCTCCTTGATCTACTTGCTCTGTGACCTGGAGCAAGTCACTTAACCTCTCTGTGCACCTTGTTCTCGTATGTAAAGCAGGGATAGTAACACAGTAGCTACCCCTGGTGTCTGGTGCATCATAAGCCTTATAAGTGGTGGCTGCTGTCACCATCATCCTCATCCTCCTTATTATCATCTCTCAGGACACCTTAGCTCTTCTCACCTCAATACTTCCATCATTTCCTCTCAGCTGGACAGAAAAGCAGTAACTGCTCCATAAAGGTTTGCTGACTAAAGTAGGAAGCCACTTCTACCCCATTCTTCACACCCGGCCTCTGGGCCCCGGGGCTAATCCTGGGTGGCTTCCACACACTGTTCTCTAGAAGAGACCTGCTGGCTCTGCCTTCCCCTTCTTCCTGTCTGGCTTCCAGGGACTCACCCACAGGGTCCACGAGGTCGATGTGATCCACAAAGTCCCTCTTTCCCAGGTAGACGGTGAGCTGGGGAGGAGAGGCACAGGGGGTGTTAGCAGCTATGGACCTGGAGGCTCAGAAGCTGCAGGTTCATGCCCTGGAGAAAACCCTGGAGATGCCCCTGAAACTCCTAGATCCACATCCCACCCTCATGGAGATCCTAACCAGAGCTGAACCCAAGCCCCAGCCCAGATACAAAGAATAACAAACCTGTGCTCAACCCAAACCCCGATGAAGTTGTTACTGTTCCCGTTTTACAGATGAGGACACTGAGGCTGGAAAGGTCTTCATGCACAGCAGCAAAGAAGTCTCTGCTGAGCAGGAGTGCTGGGCCTGCCTCTGTCTGCAGGAGGGCACTGAGCACTGGGCAATATGCTCTCATTATTCCCCCACCCCCAGGTAGCATGGCAGGAATCCACTCAGGTGAGGACTCCAGAGCTGGAATTCACAAGGAAGTCAACATTCAGGGAAGAACCCCCAAGCCAGAGTGCAAAGTGTCATCCTGCTCCTCCACAATCCCTAAATCTGGATGCATCTCCCTCCATCGTAGCTCTCAATCTCCCCCTCCCCCCACCATCCCCACAGCCACTCTTGCCTGGACTGCATACCGGCCCCTCCGTGGTATGTGCCTTGGCCTCACACACTCCACTGTTGTGCCCTCCACAGCCAGGCTGGTAGTCTTAAAATGCAAACCATGCTGTTCTGGTCTGAAAACCCTTTAATGGCTCCTCAGTGCCCAGAGGTTATATGACAAGTGGGTACCATTCCAAATGCCAACTCTGATCGATTGGTAGGAGCTGCATGGGCCCCAAGTTGAGAGGCTGTCTAAGATGGATCCTGGCTCAGCAGGAAAAGGTAAAGGGCAATTGGTGATGACCACTGTGAACACGGGAGGGAGACACAGGGGCACCTGGGGTGCTATCTGCCAGCCCAGGCCAGGAGTCTCAAGGACTCAGCCCTGCAACCACCCCGTCCTCTCCCCCTGCCTCCCTCTTGGCGGATGCAACTGCTGTGGTCCACACGCTACACCCACACCTAGAATGCCCCGGCCATCCTGCCTTACCCAGAATGTGTCCCTCACTAGGGGAAGCCAGCGCTGACTGCCCGGGCTGGGTTCCACAGCCCTTGGGCATCCCCTTATCTCACACTTGCCACTTTCTGTTGAAAAGGTTCATTTCCGAGTCTGGCTGAGTAGCACAGGCTGTGCCTTATCAATCTCAGTACACCCCGCGCCAACCCCCTCCCTTCTCCCCAACATGGAATGATGTCAGTAGCGTCTACTGGCTGCAATGAGAGGAAGGCAGGATGGAGCCGGAGGCCTGTGAAAACAAGAGAGCAGGACGGGCACTGGGAGCTGCCCTGGATAACGGGTGACAACTGGATTCAGCTGAGACTCTGGGGGAGTCCCCTGAGACCCTTGGCACTTATTCTAATTACTGCATCCACACTGAAGTAGCCTTCTGATGGCTGAGGCTCCCCATACCAGAGCAGGGGGCTCCTAAAGTCCAGGGGAGTTGTACCCACCCCCAGGTGGAAAGTTTGGTAGGTAGGTCCACCCGCTGTGCTCCAGGATGCCTGTGGATAGCACTGTCTCCCCTCGGGTGCAGCGGGGCTTGCCTGCTCTGTAGAGATGCCCAAGAGAGAACAATAAGAGTTTGGGGTGAGGAAGGAATGGGGAGGGGCTGTCACAGACTCACCTTTCCATTCGGGCTCGCCTTCTTGAACACCCTGTGGAAAGGAGAGGATGGTCAGGGTTAGCATATCCAGACAAGGGGCCCGGGTGGCACCACCCAACAGTTGAGGGCTGGGACAGTGCTTGGCACAATGACAGCTCACCATCGCCGCCACTATCCCCACCCCCCCATGTCTCCCGGGCTCCAGCAATGGCCCCCTCAGCCTGTCAACACACAGCAGGCTGGTGTCTTTCATGAGGCGAGGCTGCGCCAAGACCACCCAGCCCAGGCCGAGGAAGAGCCTAGTCTCGGGGGGCCTGCCCTGTCCTCCGACACCCAAGGTTCCTGCCTCAGGACCCTTGTTCTAGCAGGCCCTCCCTGGGCTGCTCTCCCCTGACAGCACCCCATCCTCTGTGCCCACTTGTACCCCCAATCCTTCTCGCTCCCCTTTGCCTTTGCCTCCACACTCCCCACTTCCTCACCTACTGCGTATCTGATTTGCTGATTACATTTACGCCTGTCTGCTCTGCTAACCTGCCACAAGAGCAGATGTCTGTCTCTCTCATCCACTGATGTAGCCCAAGCACCCAGAAGGGCACCCAGTAGGTGTTTAATAAACCCGTGTTAATACACGGCAGGTAACGAGCACACATACATGTTAACTGCATGGGTGAAGGAATGAATCAGCGGAGGAATCAAGTGAGGAAAGGAGGCCGGGAAGAGGGGGGACGTGCATGCAACGGAGCCAGCAGAGGCGTAGTCCGCAGCTCCCAAAATGCTCACTCGGCCTTCCCAGCCCATCGCACCTTCCAGCAGCTCCCCCTGCCCTGTGCCTCCAGCTGAGCTTGGGGTCTGAGCCCCCTCCATCAGCTCTCCGCCACCCTCTAGCCCCAGGACTACAGAGTGATGCTGGGAGAGAAAAAAGTGGAGTTAGAGACAGAGACCCAGAGATGAGAGATGGTGTAGGAAGAGGGAGGGAGAGGAGGAGGGCCCTGCAAGTGTGAAAAGATGGAATGAGAGCTGCAGAGACAGAGGGAAAAACGACAAAGAGGGAGAGACAGCAGAAAAAAAGAGGGAGAGGGGCGACACAGAGCCACACAGCAGTCCGGTGCACCACAGCCCGTGTCCTCCCCCAGAGCAGCAGGCCCAGCAGGCAGTCAGCACAAGGTGGGGTGGGACCCACAGTGTTACAGGGAAGGGGTGGAGTGCTGGCTCTGTGCTGCCTCCATAGCCCCTGCCCTGCCCCCCCTATTTTTGGAGCCCAAGGGACCACTGATGTGTCTGAGCTTTCCTTGCAATGGAGGGCCTGGCACATCCCTCCCCCACCTCCCCTAGGAGTTCTGGGCCTTTCTGTTCCTCATAAATATTTATCAGTGTTTGGAGTGTGAAGATGTCACAGCTGACTAGGGTGTAATAATCGCTAAAGTTAAAAAAAATACAGATCACATGGTTTGAACCAGCAGCAACCAAGTTGGGGCCAGACCTGCAGAGACCAGAGAAGTGGTCCAGGCCACAGGGACCCCAGATGCTTCCAAAAGCCTCAGTCCACCCCTCGGGAAAAGATCTGAGGGAGAGGAGAGACGGAAAAGACCTGAGACCCCAAGTAAGTCAGGCAAAGCCATTCGGTGATCCCTGAGAGGGACAAGGGATACCCTGGCCCCAGGAGCGGGGCTGGGGACTAGGCTGCAAGGAGTGATTGGAAAAGGGAGGGGGAAGGAAGAAGTATCCGTTGAGTGCTTAATTATTATTTCTTCTAGCAGCAGAGTGAAATGGGTATTATAACCCCATTTTATAGATAATGAACTTGAAGTTCAGAGAGGTGTAGCAATTTGCCTAGGAATACTCAGCAATCCAGAGTCTAAGTCAGGATTTAAATCTAATTCTCTTGCCTCCAGAGGCCGGTACTTTATATCCACCCCTGCTGCTCTCCTAAAGCAGGTGTTTTTTTAAATCAACATCAGGTCAATAGAAAAGAGGGAAAATGAGCACAGGGGAGGGAAGGGGAAGAAATAAAGGGTGAGGAAGGGACGAGGTGAGGGTGACAAGGGACAGGAAGCTCAGGCAGCAGTGGGGAATGTCCTGTAAAGAATTTAATCAGCCAGGGGCCGCCTCCTTCAGGAAGCCAGGTCACTGAGGCTTCCTCACACAGCAGCAGCAGCAGCAGCAACCCTTGTCCCAAGAGCATGAAGGGCCCTCCTCCTGTCTCTAATTTTCCCAGAACCCTGCTGGGCCTTTAACAATCCCATTTCAGAGATGAGGAAATTGAGGCTCCGAGAGGCGAGCCATGGCTCCCTGTCCCCAGATCTCACATCCTTTCCACTCAGTCACACAGCCAAGGTCTCCTTGGCTTCCTGACCCCGACTCTGTCAGCAGGGCCCTTGTCTGGGGGCTTCCAGTTTACCAGGATTCCCACAAGTGCAGCACCACACAGATGGCTTCCACCTGTACACTTTGAAAAGCAAACAAACACATAAGCCAAACTTCCAGGCTGTGGGATGACTGAGTATGGTTCACCCCGTGTCCCATCTATGCCCACAAGCCTGATCCTCAGAACTGAAGGTGGGTCCCTTAAGAGAAATGCCTGCAGTGTTCTAGCTGATCTAAGCTCAAAAGAGACAAGGGACAGAAACCCACCAAGGATAACCCAATAAAAGGAGGAGGGGTATGATAAGGAGGCAGAAATCTCACGGGAAGGATGCGCAGGCAGGACGCACGGGGGCTGGAGGCAGGAACAGGGAAGCCATCAGACTCTCAGGCCGTTGCGCTCTCTCTCCACCTCTCCCTCTGGGGCTGCATGTTCTCCTGACTGTATTTCTCTCTGTGCGGCTGCTCCATTGTCTGTGTGGACCGACTCTCTGCTTACTCAGGGCTATTCTGCTCCTCCATCATTTTGGCTGGCATGTGGCTCGCACTCCAACCCTGCTTCTGCTCTGCCTCTAGCTAAGCTTCCAACTGTTTATTAGCTGAATGGCCCAATTGTCAAAGTCCCAGGAGAAAAATGTGATTGGTCAGCTTTGGTCAGGTGCCCCATGCCCGAGCCAATCAACTATGCCTAGTGTGTGTCATGTGACCCAGGAGACATGGGCAGAAGAGGGACTACAGAGCAGATTTTCAAACCAGGGGTCACCATTATCAACCCATACTGAAATCAACTTAAAGACTTGCCCCCAGCATGTTGTTTTGTAAACAGAATAGAAAATCTAAGGCGAAGATCCAGATGGCAGGGGTATAGTAGGTATCACTATATTTACCAATATTCCAAACCCTTCGAAGGCTAGCCATAGGCTGAATCAAATTTCTACAGTCCTATGAAGTTAGGCATGCTCCATGTGGTTTGTTCTGGCTAATGAATTAAAAGAAGTGTCACATGTCACTTCTAGGTAGAAGCATTTAGGGGCTGATGTGTGATTTTCCCCATGCTCTTTGTTAATTATCTATGGTGCCTGTAACAAATGACCATAAACTCAATAGCTTCAAGCAACATAAGCTTATTATCATACAGTTCTATACTTCAGAGGCCTGACATGGACCGCACTGGGTTAAAATCAAGCTATTGGCAGGGTTGCATTCCTTTCTGGGGGCTCTCAGCGTGAATGTTTCCTTGCTCTTTCCAGTTTCTAGAGACCACTCACACCCCCTGTCTCATGGCCTCTTTCTCCTGCTCAAGGCGGAAACATCAGTTCGAGTTCTTACCATAGTGCATCACTCCGACCTCCTCTCCTTTTAAAGACCTCCTCCACTTTTAAACACCTAGATGAGTATATCTGGCTCCCTATTTCAGGGTCAACTGATTAGCAACCTTAATTCCATCCTTAACTGTGAATCCCTTTGTTGTGTGATATAACATAGTCAAAGGATTCCATAATTACGAGGAAGACATCTTTGGGGAATGATTCTTTTGTCTACCACTCCCTCTGCCATTGACATCAGCAACAATCTAGATAAGAAAGCCTCCAGTGACCTAAATCCCCTGGCTCCCCTGATACCCAATACATGGGAAAATGAGAAAGAAATCTCTTGCTCCACTAACTTGGGATTTTACTATAGTGCATCAGCTTCTCTTGACTGATAGAAAAATTATTATTCAGTGAGACTTTTGTTTCTGTTTAACTGAGTTACAAAGAAATGAATTTTACCTGCAATTAAAAAAATTTTTTAAATTCACTCAGGCCTTAAAGCCTGAACATGTCCTAACAGTATCTGATTCCATTCCATCACGAAGTGCTGCCAGGTGAGCAGACGGTCAGCTCTCCACTAGCCAGGATGCTGGCTTCCCATTGCGCCCCATTCCCTGCCTGCAGCTTGGGGCACCTGTTGATGAACTTTGACATTAATATTCTGCTGCTCTTCTATGAGCCACCAGTCCTCCCCATATCTAGTTATCCCTGCAGGGAGAGGCCTGCATCATGAATTCCTTTCATGATCTATTATCCAATAACCAAGAGTTTATAATTCTGTGGGGTACAATCAAACAATTCAAACCATCGACTATTATATAGCATTAAATGATACTTGCATCTTTCAGAACACAGGGAAATGCCTATGATGGAATATTAAGAAGAATAAATCAGGAATAAAAACAGTTGGCACGAGTTCAACTTTATATTCAATACATACCAAAAGAAAGAATGAGAAGACTTAAATGTTAAAATGCTTCTCAAGTTGATCTATAGGCTCAATGCAAAATCCTATAAAAATTCTGATGGCTTTTTGGCAGAAATTTGTGCGCTAAATCTAAAATCCATAATCAGGAAATGCAAGGGACCTGAACTAGTCAAAATAATCTTGAAAAAAAATAAGAGAACAAAGCTGCAGGACTCACACCTCCCTAATTCAAAACTTACTACAAAGCTGTGGCAAACAAGATTGTGTGATACAAGCACAAAGATGGACAGATAAGTCAATGGAACAGAACTGAGGGTCCAGAAAAACAAAAAGCATATATTTATGGTCAAATGATTTTTTTTTTTAAAGATTTATTTATTTGTTTTATACAAGCACTGGGTACAGTCAGAAGTGCGGGGGGCGAGAGAATTCACCAGAGCCAGAGTGGGG